ATTCTCCTTCTATCCTCCTTGGTCATTGTCCAACTCTCTGATGCATAACAAGTGATTGCAAAGACCATGGCCTGTATCAGATGCACCTTGGTCTCCAGAGACACCATTGCTCTTCAGTAGTTTAGAGAGAATATGTGTATTAATACATAGAATTATATTTTATATATTATGTTGTTAAGTGCTGTCGTGTCATAGAGGACTCATAGTGACCCTATGAATGAAAGACCTGAACACCTGTGTAACTTTCATCATTTCATAGAGTTTCTGGAGGCAAGCTATTTTGGAAGTGGATGCCACTATTATAGATAATTTAGTTTTATTATAGATAATATATATAAAATGTAGATATTACCTATTTAGTTATATATAAAATTATTATAATATGTAGTCTTGTCTGTCTTTATAATGCTCCAACATATGTTTTCTACTTTTATTACTTTTTAGTGTTCTTTAAACTAAGTTATACTTCTTTTTATACAGGAGGTTGAGTTTAATTGTACATTTAGATTGTTAAATCACACAATAGATATTTACCAAAGATGGTATTATGGAAAGAATATTTTTAATTCTCTATGTGAAAAAGGGACTTTATAATACAATCTAATAGTAATGATTTGAAATTTTATCATTGTGTGTCATTGAGTTGAAATATATATTTATATTAAAAGTTGTTGAGAGTATCTCTTTAGAAAAGACAGACATATTAGCTGTAACTTAATAGCAATAAGAATAAAAGAGAATAAGGGATGATAAGTCAAACATGATGAAGTTTAGAAGAGGTGCTTAAGGAAATAGATAAAATTAATTCTGTAATATTTCATTTACTTTAAAATATTTTATTGTATTTCTATAGGTAAGGTATTTTTCTATTTGAGTTTATCACTAATGCTGGTATGATTAAAGAAAGCAAGGGATTATTCTATTTTAATATGAAGTTTGTAAATCTTTTCACTTTATAGTTACATTTGGATGAAATTCTATCTTCCTCTTGGTATTTAGAAATCCATGTAGTTGTAGAAAAAAAATTGGTGAGTTTATTTTTATTTATTTGAGTTATTCGATATTTTGCTAATTTTAAGAGATTATAAAAATAGCAATTCTT